AAAAAGTTTGATTGTCCTGCCAAGACTTTTAAGTCTAAAGTAGAAAATTTCAAAACCATAGACTTTCCAGCAATATTCTCCCTGGTAATGTTAGAGTTGATCACACATGAGGCAGGACCGTGGTAAATTTTACTTTTAGTTGAAACCCACAGCTTCTTTTCAGCAGTGGGCATTTGATATCCTAGAAGTTTTAATCCAATGTGAAAAGTTAATGTGCTTCTCAATAGAAAGAATTTATAAGCTGTGATATCCACAAACCTCCATCACAATGTGACAGCAATCGTTATTTTCAATTTATGCTTTTGAAGATTTCTATTCACTCTGTCTCCAGTTATTATGGCTTTAGTCTAGATGTCCCCCAAGGCCTCATGAGGTCATAGGTGGCTTTTTCAGAGGTGGCTGAATCTAGAGTGTGTGGTGCTAGTATCAAGGGTGTGTGCTTACTAAACCAGTACACTGATAGGTTTGGCACCACCCTAATCCCCATACTCTGGATAAGATAAATGGGGCAGAAAGATGCTGTTAAGGTCCCCTTGTTGCCTTTGCTCTCTTCTGCCATCATGAACTGTTGCCCATCTGCCATGTGCCAACCTGCCTTGGGGGTCAGCCAATTATGGACTGAAATCTTTAAGAACTGAGATAAAGAAACCTTTCCTTTTTAAATTTTGGCTGTCAGGCATTTTGTCTCAGCAACAAGAAAAGTAACTAAGACAACATTCCATCATAATGTGACTCTGAAATGCTTGGAGACAGTGCTATCCAGAATGAAAGGAAATATTCTTGGTTGTTTTGTGTCAAGTAGCAGAGTCACTAAATGTGCCTTATTTTCATGGGAATGTCAGTTTTGCAAGGATCTTGAGATCAGAAGAGAAAATGATTACATGGTGAACACATGCCAATAGCATGGATTCCACATTAATACAAGTGTCTGGCAAGGTTAAAGTGCTTGCTACAGAAAAACAAAAAAAGAAGCAGCAGGTCTACTGGATTGGGGAGCAGGGAACTTGATTAGTCCAGCGTTAGGAATGCCAAAAATCCTGTTTAACATTTTTTGGTTTACTACTGTAAGCCACCTAGGGAAAGAATTACCCTCAATCACCTACTCTCATTATATTAAAAAGAAAAAAAAAGACAAAATAAAAAGATTAGTGCATAGGTAATCTAAGAGATGAATCTATATAGTTTTTTGCTTTTTTATGCCTGAGGAGAGCCATGAGGAAAGCAGTGTATTCAGTTTAGACAGAAACTAAAAGGGCCAAATCTAATTGTTGCTTGTTAAATACTACTAAAATAGCTGTTGGTGGAAAAAGAATAAAGTCCAAAGACAAAACTATTTTTTAATTAAAAAAAAAAACACTAGGTTTTCCTGAATAGAAATGCCTAAACTAGTGCCTGCACATCTTTTAGTGATGGAATTCAATTTCTGAGAAAGAAAAACAATGTGATGGTTGATATTAGTTGAGAACATCACAGGTTCAAGGAATATTTAGAAATCTAGTACAGCTTTATTTCGGGGTGTGGTGGTGAGGCTGTTTCCTGAGAGGTCAGTGTGTGATTCTGAGTGGCCTGGGTGGGGAAGATCCACTATCAGTGTGGGCATAGACCACCCAACTGGGTAGGGACCCAAAATCAACAAAAAGAAGAGAAAATGTGGCTATCTCCTGGAAACGAGATAAACTACTCTTTTCATCCCCTTGGAAACCACAAGTCCAGTTCTCCAACCTTTGGGATCTCATACTTACACTAGTGGCTCCTAAATTCTCAGTCCTTTAGCCTTAGACTGAGTTTTACATCATTAGCTTGCCTGGCTAGGACCTCTGGATTTGGACTTGGCCATGTTGTCAGCATCCCAGGGTTCTCCAGCTTTCAGATGGCCTGATGTGAGACTTCTCAGCCACCCCTCCATATCATATGAGTATATTCCACTAATGAATCATCTTTCATATATGTAGACCTCTCTCTCTCTCTCTCTCTCTCTCTCTCTCTCTCTCTCTCTCTCTCTCTCTCTCTCTCTCTCATCGATCTGTCTATGCTATTGGTTCAGTCTCTCTAGAACACCCAGACTCATATAGTACAACCACCAAGTTCATAGGTGTTTCTGCCTTCCCTGTATTCTCAAACTCATGAAGACTTTCCTCAATGTCCTCTTCAATGTCTTAAACTTCTTACCCCATACCAGTACAGGAGGAGACTCACCAGAGTATAGGTCTCCTATGAGATGAATCTAGGAAACATTCAATAAGTTCAAGTCAAGTCTAATCATTTTATTAAAGTAAACTGAGGCTCATAGATAAAAATGCTTGCATGAGGTCACGTTTCCTAGGTATCTTAGGACCATCATCTCCATCAGAAGCAATTATGAACACCCTTTCTTGTGTAAGGAACTATAATAATACAGAAATATATATGAACTTCTTGTAAGAATATGTTAATCCAAACTCTAGCAATGAGATAACATATCAATATTTCTCTTCCAAGAACCAATATGGCTTCCATTATCACTGGAATGTATTTCCTCTTAAATATTGGATGATGCTATGTTACACTTTAATTGGAAATGCACAAACCAAATACTTTGATGAAGAATGGAGACAGTAATGAATATGCATATTGGTATCAGTATTTGCCCTGTGCAGTAAAAACCTAGATAAAATTAGAAAAGTTCTCCCTATAGATGCTTTTTCTGCAGCAAATACAAGAATTATTTTATTGTTTCTCAATATTTTATTGCTAAAAATTCAATGATATAGAAAGTTGAAAGAATATTAGAATGAACATCAATATTCCCACCATCTAGCTTTGACCATTAACATTTTACTTAACTTGCTTTATAACTCATCAGTCTATCTACCCATCTTACTATCCACCCATTAAAATATCATATATTTTGGATGTATTTCAAAGTAAGTGCAGGTAACAGAGGATATTGTATTTTGAAGGAATAGAATTGAAGTATAGTTTTACTCCTATAAGATTAGTTGGAAAATTTTATTAGACTTAGAAAAAATTAAAACAAACAAACAAAAAAGAAAATAAAGAATGAGCTTGCCTGGAATGATGCACACAGATAATAATCATCATTCACTCTGTAGGGTCTGGAAAAAGTATGTAAGTTATTTCAACATTTTGTTTATCTATATAAACCCTACAGACATTTTCAGTACTCATCCAAATCCTTGGTTCTCTGAAGACATGGCTGCCAACTGTAGAGAAATAAGCTCTCTACTATAGATCATTAGGAAAAATTACTTGGAATGCTATCAGTACGTAGATTTTGTTCTTTGTTTTACACTCCAATATCCCCCTCCTAACTATTCTTTCAGAATAGAAATACAGTGCTTTCTATACCTCACTCTGCTGATTTATAAAGTGTTTTTCTTATTACTTATCTCACAGCGACTCCATGAAGATCGAATGTGAAAAAATAAGATAATACTGTGTAAAAGTATAGCATTTTGCACATCTATAATAGCATTATCATCAGTAATCACAATGCATCTGAAAGAAAGCACAGCTGAGGCAATGGTTCACCCAGCTACATGGCTTTTTAAATCAGTCAGAAAGGATGCAAAGGTTAAAGGGACAGAGTATTGGCAGTTGCCTTCACTCTCCCCATCAGTCATCTTGTCAAGGATCTAGGAGAACTTCAGTGTATTCCACGTGAATTTGTTTTCATTAATGAAGTGTTTGTTTTGGAATTCATCCCAGCTTTAAAACAATACTTCCATTAGCTAGGCACAACACCTAAAATTATCCATCTTATCTGACCAGTGCCAAATGATACCAGTGCCATTTACCTCGGTGACGCTGAAAGGAGACGAGCAAGGCATTCACTCAGTACATAAAACAGTATGCAGAAGGCTTATTTCTTTGAATAAACATCTAGTAACGAACTTTCAATAAAAATTTCTGAAACAAAATATTATCAAGTACTTTAAATGATGGAAAATTTCCTATATATGGGGAAGCTTCTGGGACATGAATATTTAAGTTTTGCAACTATAAAGCAGTATATTTTCCATTTTTGTGCTTGAACAAACAAATTAAGAAAGTGAGGAGCAAGGTAAAAGCTAACTGGCGTAGCAAGAAAACATAAAGTAGGAAAAGAGGCAAGTTTATCATTAATACTGTTATTTAGAACCTCTGGCACTTTATTTTATGCTTAAATGGAATGGAAGAGAAAGATTTGAAATTACCGTGCCCTCAAGAAGCATCCATTCCACTAAAAGCCAAGTAGAGAAAACAATCAGCAGGGAAAACACTTATAAATTGTAAATGGACAGAATAGGATGTGCAAAAAGAAAAAAAGAAGTACATGATTGACTACAAGTTATATTCAACATGTGCATTGAGGCTCTTTACAATGTACACAAAAGCACAGCAACGAGAAAACACCTCTAAAGGGATATAAATGATTACTTCCAACACCAACACATGCTTTTTACGTAGGAAAAGGAGAATCAGAACAGACTGGTTGTACCTATATGAGGAAGAGTCTTGGCCGACCAACTGCCAGAATGGTGCTGGAAGCTAGAACGTCTCTTAAACATGAGACATGCATCAAGTTACCCTCAGATGCCACAAAACACCACGTCCATACAAGTCCCCTAGGTTGGTTCTCTATTCATGCTGCAACGTTCGGATCACATTTACTCTTTGGCTTTCTATATAACACACAAACTGAAAGAAAAAAAACCAAACTGGTCCAGAAGGGTCAAGAAGTTATGTGTCCTATTGAGTTTTCTCATTGTAATTGCAATAAATTACAATATGTGTTAACACATGAATATGTGTATGTAATACACAAATATACATATATTCAACATTTTACAGCAATGCAGATAATCTTGATATTTTGGGGAAAGTTTGTATGTGAATACAATTTTATATTGCTTTATAACTCCACAAAGGTCCTTACTGTACTACTTGGTGGCATTGTTTATTATTCCTCTTTAGTTTACAAGTCTTGCCAAACTCTGTGGGCTCCTCACTTATCATACCTGACTGTCCAGGAGGCGGTGCACCCGATGATCCTCTTGGTAGGCAGAGAAACACAGTCAGAACAGCAGCTCTGTTCCCAGCACATGGTTCAATGGCTATGGGCTTCGGTGCGCCCTGGAAAGGAAAACCCACTGTAAGTTTGTACAGTTGACATGACATTGCTGTGTTATTTCCTGTTTTTGCTATCACTAAACTGTATACTACTAGTTGCTGGGGACACAACCTATTGTCAGTTTACACTAACTCCTGGCACAGTCTTGATGTGGAATCAGCCTTTATATGAATAAATGAATGCATTTCACCGTATTTCATGTGCAACTAGTAAGCCATAAAGTTACACAACTTTTGTTGCTTCTTCCAAAGTACTTCCTCTCATTAATGATATGCCATGTACTTCCTTTTAGCTAATTAAGTGACTATAATTCCAAATATTCTGTTGGCATGTCTTTTCTTTTAATTTTCTTTTGACTATATTACAAGTGTACAACATGATGTACACACTAAAATCATTACTATAGTTAAGCAAATTAACATATTCATCACTCTGTACAGTTACATTTTTTTCCTTTGTGGTAAGACACTTAAGAATCTATGGGCCAGGGATTTAGCTCAGCAGTTTGGTGGCCTGCCTTGCAAGCGCAAGGACCCAAGTTCAATCCCTGGTACCAAAAGCAAACAAAAACAATCTATACTTTTAGTAAAATTTCAGCACACAGTGCAATATTGTCAACATTGGCCCTTTTTCTATGGTTAGCTCTGCAGGCTTATTCATCCTATAAAACTGCAGTTTGTATGCTTTGTCTGACTTCTCCCCATTCTCTCTCCCTCCCTTCCCCTGGTGACCATGATTCTACTTTCTGATTCTATATAATTTGGTTATTTTTAAAAATTCATACACAATTGAGCTAACATTAACATATCTTTAATAATTATCTAGTGAAATACATTTTTAATAATAACTGACCAATGCTTTGTTTAAATAACAGAAATAAATACATGATAATAAGAATAATAACAATACTCATATTTTATTAAGTAATTACAATGGATTGCATTTGCAAAATGCCTTTTATATATTAATTATGTAAATCTTACAATGGGGCAAGATAAGAATCCTGAAACAAGAGGTTATAAAAAGTTACTCAATTCACACACAGTTAGGAAGAACTAGCAGGCCTGGCATTTAAGCTAGGGTAGGTGCCTCTTGAGTCTGTTTTCTTAAGTATACAATGCAGCTTATGCTATGTGTGCATAGACAAAGATGCACTGCACACATGGATATACAAACGTATAGATAAGTATACACGTACACACACACACACACACACACACATGCCACCCTGTTTGCATGCAAACATACACACAGAATTTGGGTTTAAAAAAAAAACATGAACTCTGAAACAATGAAGGCATCATTTTAACCTAGGAATGGTGGTTTTGACTACAACATTCAAAAAACGACAGGTGAGAAATGATAGATACATGAAGGAAACATCTCTGTATTAAGCCACAATTTAAAAGAAACATGGACAGCTCTAATTGTTAGAGAAAATTATTTGTTCAGGTTTCTTTTCCCAATAATGATATTCAAACTTTTCAAAAGAAATATAGACATATGTAGTCATTTGCCTAGAATATTCTAGAATATAGCTGTTGCCAGAAAGTTTAATGAGGCATTAAAGATAAAATATGTCCCCTTTCATGTAAAACTTAGACTGAAATTTCTGGTGACAATGGTTTTATGTGGTTATAAAGGATTTCTCCTTTATAGCAACATAAATCTCATGTTTGAAAATTATCCTCATAGAGATACATTTTGGAAGCTTTCAATATAGAGGAGAAAGTGGTCATGGTGGTGGAAGCAAAGGACACTAAAATGTCTCAGGAAAATGCCATAGGCCACGTTACACCACTTGCTTCAAATTACAGGATCTATGGTTTTATTCTTTAAATCTTACTCTTAATTTACCATATTTATTTTTGAAAATGTTGTCAAAATCAACATAAGTACATAGATAGTCTCCAGTGATGTAAATATTTAGGAAATAGGCTTGTCACATTTCAAGCTTGAAAGAAAGGTACTATGTATGTTTCTAACCATATTTCTAGGCTAAACTAAAATTTATTTTAACTTAATAAATGCAAAATATATGTAAATGTCAACTGTTTAAAATATACTAAGAGAACACAAAATGAATTCACACTTTAAGTGATAGTTATGTATTAGAAATATCAAAATCTAAGAAACAGATGATCATATCTACTAGTAGGCAGACATTTCTTTGTGTTTTATTTTTTCAGCTCTCAATGTAATAACTGACACTAGAATATCCAGTTATTTTGAAAAACTTGAGTACAAAAATTACAACAGTAAATTTTAAGATTGCCAAATTAAAAATGTTGAGAAACAGTATTAGTTTATAGAGGATTTAGAAAAACAATAAAAGAGTTGGAAGTACATTAGTTGATCATGTTGCTAGGCTACCATTCTACTGTTTTTAACACTGCGGGAAAGGTTTTAAATATCAAGTGCTCATGTTTAAATATCAAAATCTCAATGGGGAGAAAAATTAGTAAAATGTAACTGTAAATTTCTGGTGAAATATGGCTTAATTATGTGACACTTTAGACTTCAGAATCTTAGCAACAGATAGGGATGGTGTAGTAGAATATGTGGATTGTGGAAAAGTGACTCTGCCTGCATGAATGCTAATTCTATAAATCTTCCTTAGACTAATTCTCTCAGTGTTACCTTACTGTTATTGTTTAGAAAACATTCAAAAGTTTCTTTATATGATAAGCCATGTAAATGGAGAGTATAATTCTATTTTAAAATCACTTTGGCTTAAAACTTGGTCTATTTTTAGCTATATAAGATTTTCATAAAGTGCTATTAACAAAAATATGAATTATTCATTATGTTCAAAATATTAGTTACTATCATAGCTATTTGACACTTCTGGAAGAAATTCACATAATTTTAAAAAATTACTTCCTAAGACATTGTGGCAAATATAATTTTCCATACAGGATTTAAATAAAAAAGGGATGGCTAGTAGCACTTGAATTTTACAAATAGCAAAATCCTACAAATAATAATATTTCCAATACCTTGATGTTTGGCAGTTGTTTTGTGATAAACACATAGCCATGAATCAAAATCATTTCACAATAACATAACATGTTCACTGAACTGCAATTTATCATGCATTTTCCATGGCTGCCTTTGAAAGAGATAAAGCATGAGTTTGAGTGCCCCCAACACTCAGCAACTGCAATTTACTTCTAGGCATTTTCGTATTGTTGTACTGCAAAACCTGGTGTTAGATTATGCCAGAAAACATCACTGACAGTTATGTAATTAGCAGTTTTTGTTTATTAAGCACACAGCACTTTTACAAAAGACTTGCTTGGTTCACTTTAGTTTGTTTGAAGTAATTGGACTCCTATTTTCAAGTTCTTTGAGAGGCAACAGATTTTATGTTAAAATCTTTCCATTTTTAAAGCTGTTAAAGACAAACAGGTTACCCAAAAAGTTTCTAGAACCTAAGGATTTTCAAGATGATAGTTCTTAAAACTCAAAATAATGTGTTCTGAAAGTAAGGCTGCCATTAAACCCAAGACCTGTTGCAGGAAATTGCTGGGACTTGGCTCACTACAGGTTTAGAAAACACAAATGGGCAAAGTTGGCTCCATGTTTCTTCTTCATTGACCTCTCCAAGGGCAAGAAAGTTACGTGCTTCTAGGAGGCATACTAAGCCTGTTGCAGGAAACCCTATACCCAGCAGCTGAGGATTTTACAGAACTATCTGTTGTTCTCAGTTTAGCCATTGTAATTAAGTAAGGATTCAACATTTTTAAAAAAAATGTTATGTCCTTTCTCAAAAACTTTCCGAGCATTCAGTAGTTCCAAAGGAGGGCTTGCAAATTTTTTGGAACTTATGTTTTCCCGTGTTGTGTTCTTTTTCCTTAAAGGAAGGCATTTTGTTAGCTGCTTCCTTGTCTTACTTATAGCTTCTTTTAGAGGCATTGCACAGGGTATGTGACAGGATGAATGGATGACTAAATAAATAAGCTTGTCACAGAGGTTGCTCAATAGATAACTGTTAAGACATGACAGCTTCTATCTAAATTATGGATTTTTAAAGGAATAATAGGACACTGGAAAATAATGACAGTTAACAAGTGAATACTAACTTGGTGCTCAGTGCGGTGCTAAGGCTTGTGCATGCACGACTGGGTGTAATTACACAGCAGTTATATTATGGAAACTCGTGTCTCATTATATATAAATGAAAAAGTTGAAATTCAGAGGGGTCAAATGACATTCTCAGGTAACACAGAAATTGGAGCTCAGACCTGATTATTATAGTATATAGCATATTATACGTAATTATACAACATTACTAGAAAATATAATTTAAGAAACCAAGTAGTCTCTTATTCTCTCAGCTTGCTTGTTAACCAAAGAAATCAATTTATAATTCCAGGTATAAAAATTTTATACACAAACCTGTCCCATTTCTGACCTCTCTTTCAAACACTATTGAGTCCTAGGGCCAGGTTTATCACTGTCTAGCTATGTGGTTCTGGGAATTTTTTAAAATCAATTGTTCCAAAAGGAGAAAAAAATAGGCAAGTTGGATGACGTTTAGGGTCTTTTTCCTCTTTAACATTCTGTGATTATAATTCACTGATATCCCACAGAATCTGTGATATACCAAATCACCAAATCACAATACAATGCCTAGTTATAGTGAATTTTTTGAAGTCATAGTGAAATTTAAATTTTCGAATACTTTGTAAGTTTTTCTCTTGATCACATACTTTTAAATGACACACCAAATTTTTAAAAAACATACCATATAGTGAATATATCATATAAGAATAAATGGCTACCATCGCCTGCCAAAAAAGCAATTAGAAAATTGAATCAAGGAATTAAGGATTAATGTGGATATGTCATACCTGTCAGCAGTAATAAGTGTTTTGACAGGAACAGAATAAAGTCTGACAGTAAGCACAAATACTAATCTGATATATGAGTGGAATATTAAAAATGCAAACAACTGCACATTAATCACTCTTGTATTTCCTTTCTGAAACACATTAAT